AAGTCTTCGGAGCTTTTTGGGCCGTCTTCAACCCCGTGAAAGCCGAAGCGTCGCACATGCTAAAAATGTACGTTCCCCAATGGGAATTGAACGATTTTAGCCTCTTGGAACCCTCTTGGGAGTGCTTTGGCAGGCCTCTTGGGGCGTCTCGGAACATTCTAAGACCGTCTCGGGGCCATCTTGGACCGTCTTGGGCGACTCTGGGCCTTCTTGGGCCGTCTTAGGCGCCGTCTTGGGGCCAGCTTGGGCCGTTTTGGGCGCCTCTTGGGCCGCCTAGGCGCCCTCTTGGTCCGCCTTGGGGGCGTCATGGGATCCTCCGAGGCCGTCTTGGGGGAATCTTGGGAACTTCTTGGACCGTCTTCACAGCCGTAAAAGCTGCAAAGGCGCACATGCTGAACATGTAAGTTTTCCCATCGGGATTTAATGGTTTTGGCCTCTTGAGGCCCTCTTAGGAGTGCTCTGGGAGCCTTTTTAGAGCGTCTTGGGGCCTTTTTGGGCCGTATTGGGCAAGTCGAGGCCTTCTTGCGCCGTTTTGGGGGCCTCTGGGAACCCTCTTGGCTCGTTTTGGTACCCTCTTGGTCTCTCCGGGCCGCCTCTGGAGAGCGAAACGGGGGGGTATCAGCGAGCGTATTAGAACTGTTGCGGGCTGGGCCGGCCCAGGCCTGGGGAGGGGGTTATGCATATACATACATATATACATATATATATAATATATATATATATATATATATATATATATATATTATGTATGCTCCCCCCCTGTGATCACACATTTCGCCTTCTTTCTCATCCTCCTCGTCGTCGTCCTCCTCCTCATCATCATCCTCATCGTCGTCGTCGTCGTCCTCCTCCTCCTCCTCCTCATCCTCCCCCTTTTCCTCCCCTCCTCCTCCTCCTCCTCCTCTTCCTCCTCCTCCTCGTCATCATCATCATCCTCATCCTCCTCCTCCTCCTCCTCATCCTCCCCCTCTCCCTCCCCACCCTCTCCTTTCAACCTGTCTCCTCCCCACATGTTCATACACAAACCAAGTCTTCGACACTGCAAAGCACTTCCACGGCGCTACTCTGGAGGGGCATCCAAAAAAGGATGCCCCTCTGTGGCGGACGCGGGCCCAGGAGGGAACCCAAAAAACGGGTTACCATCACTGTGCCCGAACACAAGGCCACATGGTCGGACGCCTGTTACGCAAGGACACCAGCAACGGCTCAGCATCAGTGATGATACCACACAACAAACCAAAACTTCGACACTGCGAAGCGCTTCCACGGCGCTACTCTGGAGGGGCATCCAAAAAACGGATGCCCCTCCGTGGCGGACGCGGACCCAGGAGGGAACCCCAAAAACGGGTTCCCATCACTGTGCTCGAACACAAGGCCACATGGCCGCACGCTTGTTACGCAACGACACCAGCAACGCCTCAGCATCAGTGATGACACCACACCACAAACCAAGTCTTCGACACTGCAAAGCGCTTCCACGGCGCTACTCTGGAGGGGCATCCAAAAACGGATGCCCCTCTGTGGCGGACGCGGACCCAGGAGGGAACCCCAAAAACGGGTTACCATCACTGTGCCCGAACACAAGGCCACATGGTCGGACGCCTGTTACGCAAGGACACCAGCAACGGCTCAGCATCAGTGATGATACCACACAACAAACCAAAACTTCGACACTGCAAAGCGCTTCCACGGCGCTACTCTGGAGGGCACCCGAAAAACGGATGCCCCTCCGTGGCGGACGCGGACCCAGGAGGGAACCCAAAAAACGGGTTCCCATCACTGTGCTCGAACACAAGGCCACATGGCCGCACGCTTGTTACGCAACGACACCAGCAACGCCTCAGCATCAGTGATGACACCACACCACAAACCAAGTCTTCGACACTGCAAAGCGCTTCCACGGCGCTACTCTGGAGGGGCATCCAAAAACGGATGCCCCTCTGTGGCGGACGCAGACCCAGGAGGGAACCCCAAAAACGGGTTACCATCACTGTGCCCGAGCACAAGGCCACATGGTCGGACGCCTGTTACGCAAGGACACCAGCAACGGCTCAGCATCAGTGATGATACCACACAACAAACCAAAACTTCGACACTGCGAAGCGCTTCCACGGCGCTACTCTGGAGGGCACCCGAAAAACGGATGCCCCTCCGTGGCGGGCGCGGACCCAGGAGGGAACCCCAAAAACGAGTTCCCACCACTGTGCTCGAACACAAGGCCACATGGCCGCACGCTTGTCACGCAACGACACCCGCAACGCCTCAGCATCAGTGATGACACCACACCACAAACCAAGTCTTCGAAACTGCGAAGCGCTTCCACGGCGCTACTCTGGAGGGGCATCCAAAAACGGATGCCCCTCTGCGGTGGGCGCGGACCCAGGAGGGAACCCCAAAAACGGTTTGCCATCACTGTGCCTGAACACAAGGCCACGTGGTCGCACACGTGTCACGCAACGACACCAGCGAGGGCAAGAAGGAGCTCTTGGACAACTTCAAGGAGTTGTCGCCGCCCGCTGGGGTCATCATTGTCCCGGACAAGTGGAAGGGGGCCATAGCTGCCGTGAAGCAGTACCGCACTGACGCGGGCCTCACCGAGCGGATGCTGCCGCACGAGGTAGTGAACCACAGCGCTGGCGAGATCACGAACGAGAGAGGGTTCACTACCAACCACATAGAGCTTCAATGATCATTGATCAAGCGATGGATCAGGAAGCTCTACGGCGGCATGTTGCCCAAGAAGGCCAACAGACAGAAGTGGTCGAGGCTCCTTGCCGAGCATAGATTCCGCACCCACATCAAGGCCGTTGAGCAGGAAGTGACTTTCAGGGCGCTGGCGGCCGCGTTCCAGGTGCGATGCTCTGTCTAGGGCACGGCGCTTGCCATCCACTGGCATATGAACGTTCAAATCATTAGTGTCTTTTTGAAGCGGAGCTTGAGCTATGTCGGGGAAGAAGGACCCCCGCGCGAACGCCATGCCGCAGCGCCCCGAGCTGATTGCAAAACGCTCTGTCGATCATCGCCATCGCCGTTCCGCTTGTCGCCGCTTCAGCATTCGGTTCCCTCGGCCCCGAAAAAAACAGAAAGGGGGGGGCCACTGCGGCCCATGTAGTTTTTTTTTCTTAAAAGCGCAGGGGCCCAAACGATCTTCTAACCTATTGTTTTTTTATAAAAAAAACTGTTTTTACTGTGGTCGTTGCTGGGCGTTCGGAGGTTGAAGGTCGAATCTTCTGGGGGAGTAAGCCCAAGGCCCCAGAACAGACTCAGGGGGAAGCCCATGGCCCTAGGAGGAAGCCCAAGGCTTAGAAACTGCAGCCCGATGGAAACTAACGCGCCCCGACAGCTGCCGCTTTGGCTCAAACTGCTTCTAGCCTTAGCTCGCGATTGCTCTGCCGTAGCGCCCCCGTGCCAAGGCGCGCGCCGCTGCTTCTGCTGGCCGCGTGGCGAAGCGCCCCGCCGCAGCGGTTCGTGGAGCGCAGAAGGGCGCTTGCCTCAAGCGCCCCGCGATCACTTTCAACCCTTACACAGCGCCCAAGCGTGGGAAGGGCCGCGTGCAGGGCAGGAGGGGGAAGCAGGCGGGCGACGTCAAGTGCGTTCGCACTGCTGGAGGCACCAAGAAGACGCGGATGGAGCGCGACACGTGGTGCCGCAACATTGATTCCTTCCACGTGGAGAACGAGAGCAAGCTCGTGGACCTCTTAATCGAAGACGGAATTCTGCTCGACTGGGCAAGGTTGACGCGCCCCTTCTGCGGCAAGGGCACCCTCGGCGACCGATGCGTCAGGGAGTGGGATGGCGGCTCTGGCTGCGCATGGCGGTGCAACGATGGGAGGAACTGCGGCAAGCAGGTGCGGCCCACCCATTGCCATCCAATTTTCTCCAGCGGCTGGGGGAAGGAGACGTCATCCTTGAAGGACAAGACGAGAGTCCTCTTCGGCGTCGTCACGGGGATGACGACCGCGCAGATCCACCTCCGCTACGGCGTCAACCACAAAATGATCGAGGGCATCACTCGCAACCTTGACGTGGCGCGCGCGCAGTATGTGGAGAAATACGGAAAGAACATCGTGTTCGGAGACGGCAAGACGTGGGTGGACATTGAGGCTGACGAGTCCGTCTTTGCCACTGCGATCACGGAGGACAAAGAGGCGAAGGAGTGGGAGCAGTGGGCGGGGGTCGTGCAGAGGGACAGGCCAGCCACGCTGGTGCTGTTCAAGACAGAGTCAGACCGCACCGCCAAGAATGCCCCTGGCCCAGGCGCCATCAAGAAGACCGACTGGAAGCCTTTCCTCTTGGAGCGCCTCAAAGATCGCAAGGTAATCTTGCACTCGGACGGCGCACGGAGCTATAAAATGAAGGCGCCTGTCTTGCTCCACGACGTGGCTATCCATTGCAAGAAGCGCGTCAAGGTGGGGGGCAAGTGGAAGTGGCTCAAGCCCGTCTACTCTAAGATCGCGAAGCACGAGCTCCCCAGCGGCAACGTGGTCAGCGCGAAGACAGGCACCCAGATCATCGATCGGACCTGGAAGCACGTGAAGAACCACATTGGCCCGCGGACCTATAAGCCGCACAGTAGCGCACTGGCCGCCCGCATTCGCTCGGCCCAGTGGGAATACTGGCATCGCGGTCAACATTTGCGGGCGGACACGGGCGCAATGATTCACGACTTGATGGGTTCAACTTTCTGAGGCGCGCCGGCGAGGGCGAAGTGTGATGAGGGGTGTCTTTTGCGTTTTATGTAGCTGCGCAGCTTCCGCGTAGGGTTCAGCAAGCGGCCAACGCTGCCCCGTTGACATTATAAGACTTGCGCGTGCGATCCCCCACTTTCTAGCGAACGGGAGGAGAAGCAGTTGGGGGCGCGGTCGCGCGCCGCAGGCGCGGCTGCGACCGCGGGGAGAGCGCCGTTCCGTTGCCCTTCAGGTTCGAGCGGCCGCCGTCGCGCCGCCCTCCGTCGCCGCTAGAGTTTACATTCGAACTCCTGCGTCCGTCCCTGTTGTGCCATGGCGAGCCTCACGGCTGGCGGCATCAAGTCCATGGGGGAGCTCATCGGTGGAGACGCGTCTTGCACTGAGCAGATCAAAAGCACGTGGCTGCACATGGCAGCGGTGCAGCAATACAAGAAGCTGGGCAAGCCCGAACGCTTCCAGTCAGATCCGCCCGCTGCCTTTTGCTTGCGCGACATGCCGCTCCAATACGCGGGCCAAGTTGTGAACCTCAAGCATTTGGTGGACTGGGTGAACTTGGAGGACGGCGCCGCGGACCATTTGGACACAGTCGACGTGTACGACGCCATGTGCGGCGGCAACTACATGGCCCTTCCTGCTCCATTCAAGCCGAACAAGGACCCTGGGGAACTTGCATTTACCATGCAGCTGTATATTTTGCCGAAGGAGGGCAACGGCCATCAGTTCGTCCTGAAATACGCGAGGTTCCAAGATAAGGTTCGGACCGACATCGCCAAGGAGATCTTCGTCGCGGGCAGGGCGCTCACCATTCATTGGGGGAGCTCGGCCGACAACAACGCGCCTCTGAAGCTTTTCTACTACATGATGGACAGGCTGGGCGGAGTTCAGATCCGTCATTGGGCCCAGCCGTCAGTGGTGGCAACCGTCGGCGGCGGCAATTACGACAAGGGGAAGCGAAAGGCTGGCTTCCGCTTCATTGAGGAATTCGGCCCTCGAGCGAACAATCGCAACCAGTTCGTCGAATGGACTGACGAACAGATCAACAACGAAAGCTCCCCGATCTTTGGCTGGCAGGCGGGAGAGGTCAAGGAGCCGCTCCGCAACTACGCGTCAGGCTCTGTTGGGGCGAAGACGCTGGGGCGTTGGGCGGTCACGCTCAAACGCTTCCACCCTTTCGTGTTCGACCACGTCGTTGTCCCTATTCTCAAGAGCCATGACGTGCACGGCACGATGTGGATTGGCAAGACCAGGGTCGGCAAATCGACGGCTTCGAAAACGATAGGCTTCGCGATCTCCGCCTACCAGATAGACAAGCACGATCGCGTCGACCTCCGCCCGAGCGTCGTCACGACGAAGAAGGTGGACTTCTTTCGGCTCGAACCTGGGACAGTCTTCAAGCCCGCCATCGCTGACGACACCGTCCTCACGAAGTGGGCCCCCGATGAGATCAAGGCCTTTCTCGACCCCGCAGAAGAGGACGCGCTGCTATGGGCCAGGCAGCAGGGCGCGGACAACGCACGCGGCCAAACAGAAACATACACAACGAACGACAGAGACGTTTCATGTTGGTGTGTTTCTGCTATGGTGCGAAATGAAAAGGTTTCGCGCGCCGCTGTCCGCGCGCTGCGTAGGTGGGGCGGCGCCTCTTTCGCGCAGAACCAGTCCCGCCAGATCTGCATCAACCCGTACAATGAGGAGTTCGAGAAGACGGTCCGCTCCATACGCAGAGGCAGGGAAGAGGTCGCATTCAAAGATTTCCTGGAAATCGTTGACTGCAATTTCGTGTGCGAGAAGCAGAGCGGCTACCAGATGGCTGACGTGGAGGCGTATCTGGCGAGGTCCAACATTGTGCCCCTGACCGATGACTGGATATACTTGCGATTGGCGTCGACGACGAAGGACCCAGTTCCCCGCTTCCCTTGGCCAGCGCCCGATAAGCCAGACCTCTTTACGCCAGAGGCAACGCCGATTCTGAGGCGCTACAAGAAGGACCAAACGTTCGCGCCGACCGACTACGACATGCACATGAGGTGGTCGGTGGCCGCCATGAAGAAGTTTTCCAGGGGCGACGACATCGGGCGCTCGTCGGCGGTGCGCGGCCCCACGCTGTTCGACCAAGACGCCCCGCCGAGGTGCCAGTTCCCCGAGCTGGACGGCGAGCCTGACGTCGCAAGCGGCGCCGCGCGTTCCGCGCGTGATCCCCCTGCGAACCCAGATGGCAGCGACGTAGAAGAGGACGTCTTCGGCTTCGGTGGTGGGATGGACGGCGACGGCGGCGCGCCCGCGGCGGTTGCGCCGCCTGCGCCGCTCCCGAAGCCCGTGCCCGTCAAGCGGGAGAAAGGGACCTTCCGCTTCCTCAAGAGTTCGGCGGGCCGCGGCGTCATTGACTTGAGCACGCCGACGCCAAAGAAGCGGCGCCCCGCCCTCGAGGTGGAGCTGTCGCAGATGCTCGAGGACGACGGCGTGGCGAGCGGCGCCGCGGCGAGCTCGAGCGCTGGCCCGCCGCGGGTGGAGCGTGCGTAGGCATTGGCACCTTCGACGGCGATGCGTCGTCGCCACGCAGCTGAGCGCGGGCAGCAAGCGGCCAGTGCTGTCCAGTTATTAGAACCGCCCGGCTTGAGAACTCGCACCGCCTCCTCGCTAGCAGATGTGCTTCCCATATGACATTCTACATGTTCCAGCTTTGTCGCAAGCAACACATGGAGATCTGTCACGTTTCCAGCTTTTCCAACTACCCCCAGAGGTATCCTTAGCGAAAACCTTATGTTTCCTACCTTTTCCAGCTTTTCCAACTTTTCCTAAAGACTACCATGAG